GACAGGCAGACAGCCATTGTTGGGACTACCTAGTCCCTACTGGTTGCAATCTATTCTAACAAACCCTCCCCACCCCTTTGAAAATGTATTTCTGGAAATTTCAGAGAAGTGCTATTTAAATTTTAGCTTTATGTGTTTTCCTGCATATACATATGTGTATCACATGTGTGCTTGGTGCCCAAGGAGTCCAAAGAGGGCATGGGATCTCCTGAAACTGAATTTACAGGTTTTTGTTCTCCTCCTCAGACACTGGCAAACTTTGATCTGTCTGTACAGTTTTTGCCATTTCCAGGAAGTCATTATACAGAGACAGAATTATTAACAAATTAGGCGACAGATTGTGGTGGTTTGAATAAGAATAGCCCCTATAGGCTCATATCTTTGAATGCTTAGTCATCAGAGAGTGGCACTATTTGAGAAGGATTAGGGGGTGTGGTCTTGTTAGAGGAAGTATGCCTCTAGGGGTAGGATTTGAAGTTTCAAAAGCCCATGCCAGACCCAGTCTCTCACACTCTGCCTGCAGATGAGGATGGAGCTCTCAGTTAATGCTCCAGAGCCATGCATGCCACCATGCTCCCTGCCATGATCATAATGGACTGACCTTCTCAAAGTGTAAGCGAGTCCCCAATTAAATGTTTTCTTTTGTTAGAGTTGCTGCAGTCGTGGTGTCTCTTCACAGCGATAGAACGATGACTAAGACACATCTAATTGGTTTTATTTGTAATTCATGATTTAGGGCAGTTTCCATTTTACAAAGCAGAATAAGATCTCCCACTGGGCAATTTCAGCTAAAGCAGATTTTGTGGGCTGGACAGATGGCTGGGTGATTCAGAGGACTGACTGCTCATGTAGAGGAACTGGGTTTAATTCCAGGGAACCTAATGCCCTCTTTAACACAGGTTATTTTTTTGTGTATTATTTCTCATTTGTATTTTCTGCCACTGTGCACATGTGAAGGTCAGGGGACAAATTGCAGATGTCAGTGTTCTACCTTGTGGGTTCTGGGAATCACACTCAGGCTCACAGGTTTGGCAGGGAGCACCTCTTAGCTTTGTACCACCTTCCTTGCACCCAGGTTGTTGTTCTACAAGGGTGAAAGCAGGTGAATCCTCTACCACTGAAATAAAGCCTCAACATCGTTCCTCTAATCTCTTAACTGAAAATCTGGATAATGAATTGTCAGGGCAAAAAGATCTTGCCCTCCCAGATAGTACTAGGGAAAACAGGAATGTTAAACAGGCAGGGTTGTTTTTTCAAGGGAAAAGATGTATAACTTGTTTTCTACCCAGAAGACTAGGAATGGAGGTGGCTAATAGCCCTGGTAATCCCTGTGCTATCTGTAGGCTCCCCGACCAGGACAGGAGGTACCTAACAGTCTAGATGACCTCTGCACTATCTGTTTGGCCAGGGGCTCCCCCAACCAGAACTGGAGATGGTTAATAACCTAAGTGGCAGTACTTTTAGAAGAGTTCTGATGTAATTATGCCTTCTTGTGCACAGGGGGTTTTGTTACACCAGGAAACCTTTTTCCAAATTGTATTGTACTTAAATATGCCTAAAATAAACTGCCCAGTGCCAAGACTCTAGGAGTGTGAACCAACACCAGCTACTGAGCCATGCTGAACTGAATTTCCCTCTTGCCTCATGCATTTGCTACTCTGTTGGTCATGGCATTTATACGAACCACTACAATGAATAACAGAAATGTGTGTGAGCTTGCTCAACTTGGGACTGAAAGAGGGCTCACATGAACCTAGGGAAACGGCAATTTGACTGGATTGAATTTTTCCCCCTTTCTTTCAGAGTTTTACATATATTCTGATTAATTAAATAGGAACTTTTGTTTTTTTATTGTGAAGGCAGTTGGGGAGGATCAATGGATCAGAATGAAGGATCAAGTAATTTTAGTTGTGAAGTGAGCAACTTGTAAACAAAGCCACTCACACACTGGTGACCTACTGGCACACAATGAACAGTAATGATCATACAGAGTTCCTGCCTGTACTTAATGCTGGGCCTTGAGCGGCCGCCAGTGAACCACCATGCTGCAGAGCAGGGCAGGACACTCTGGGAGCATGCAGGTAGGTGTGGAGACAGATTCAAACACTTGCCAGGCTTCTGATCCTAAGTAAACCACGATGATCTGTCTTTTCTTACCTATTCTGGAGTTTTCCCGTGAAGTCACAGGTTTTTCCTCTACTTTTCATGAACTTGAATACTTCATGACAAACAGATTTTCTAGTTTGTTGTGTCGACTTTACTGCTAGGGTTGTTTTTGGTTTTTGTTACAGTTACATATATACAAACCCAAGTTGATTGAACATCTACATTATTGTACTTACATGTTGAGCCAAGTGTTACAGAAGTCTTTAATGTTTTCTTATTGCTTTTAGATGGTTATGGCTGAAGTTCTAACTCGGTGGAAGGATTCTTGCCTAGCATTTGGGAAGCTCTCAGTTTAATCCCCATTGTTGAGAGTAAAAAGCTAGACAGCCTCATTGTTTTTAATCCACCGTGGTAGCCAGCTTCCAAGGTGACCCCGGGTATCCATCTTTCCTGCCAGTACTGGAACTGACCAGTGTGGCAGCACAGAGGAACGGTAAGTGTGGCTTCTGAGGCTGTTAAAGGCATCAGAGCCAACAATTCCCCGATATAGCCAACCAGCCAAATGGAAAGATGAATGTGGTAAGGAACTGAGGCCTCAGCAGTCATGTGAATCACCAAAGAACGGGTCCACCAGGCCCAGGCAGGCCTGGATGGCAATGCCAACGGTTCTCATCGAGGACAGTCAGAGGCACTCAACCGACTGTTCTCACGACCCTTACCCACAGAAGGCAGAACAAAGCTTACTGGTTTTTATTGTTATCCTTTTATTTTTTTCAAGACAGGGCTTCTCTGTAACTGCCTTAGCTATCCTGGAACTCACTTTGTAGACCAGGCTGGCCTTAAACTCACAGAGACCTCCCCAATTCTGTCTCTCAAGTGCTGGGATTAAAGCATGTACCACCATGCATAGCACACTTGTTTACTGTTCTAAGCCACTAAGTTTTGGAATAGTTAATAATTTTTCCTCTGAACTCAGCAGATTAGATCTTGATGTTCAGGGACCACTCTTTGCTTCTGTTCTGATTCTTGGCTACAGTCCAGGATATTGATTTGATCTCTGGTTTCACAGAAGTGGTGAAACCACTTTTTTTTTTTTTTTTTTGCATTATTACAAAACCTACTGGTAGAACAGATGTGGCAGTGAGATGGCTGAGATGGTTCTGTATTGGTTCAGATCCAGTTTCTGGGCTGGAGACATGGCTCAGTGGTCAAGTGTATTTGTTGCTCTTACAGAAGACCTGAGTTCAGTCCCCAGAACCCACTTTGGGCAGTTCACAATTGCCTGTGATTTCAGGTCCATGGGGATCAGATACCTCTTCTGGCCTCTGAAGGCACATGCACTTATGTGCAATTCACACACACACACACACTCCAGCTTAATGGTGCTGGTGTACACCTGCAATTCCATGACTTCAAAGGCTGATATGGGATGATCAGGTGCTTGAGGCCATCTTGACCTACACGGCAAGACACTGTCTCAAAAAACCACAGGCTAGTAATGCAGTTTAGAGGTGGAACACGTGCCTCGAATGGCCAGAGTTGTGGGGTGACCCGAGAACTACAAAAACAAATACATCATCACTTCTGCTGCTTTGCTCTCTACTCCAGGGCTTGGTCGACCGGCTCTGGAATGACCAGAATCTGGGGAAAACATAACCATTAAGAGCTCCCAAACCACAGAGCCATTTTAGTGACTGTCCTTCCTTAAAACACTTAATCTCTTGTGTAAAAGGTTAGTCACCTGTAGCGATAACTTTCTACCTTATTGGCTTTGGCAAGTATTACAGAAGGCAACTGACAAAGTTTTCAGTGTCTTACACATAATAGGACTTGAAGAAAGGCCACCCCAGTCTCTTACATCAGAACTTAACTTCCTCCTCTCCTTTGCTCTGCAGAGCCAATCAAGTACCACTGTCCAGTCTACTTCCGAAATGCACTTTAAACCACCCCCTTTCCTGTCCTACCACTCTTCTCATCGGGGTTCTGTCTATGGGCCTCTAGGCCAGGTCCACCCAACTGAGTCGCTATGCAGTTGTTGGAATGGCCTTCACAGACACCGGTGCCATCCTGCTACCCCCACGATTGTTTTCTTCTTTAGATGCAGGGGGCTCGTGAGACGGCTCAGAGGGTGATGGCACTTGCTGCCAAACCTGATGACCTCAGGACCTATATTGTGGAAGGAGCAAACTCACTCCTGCAAGCTGTCCTCTGGGCTCCACACGCACTCAGTGGCGCTTGCAAATATAAATAAGTAATAAATGTAAAAGAATACAAAGTGCCCATGCCATCTGGATTCTACGATAGATTTAGAAATGAATTTCAGATGCAAACTCCTGCTTCAGTGCCAAGAGCATCAGTTTAGACGTGGGTAGTCTGTTGACTCCAAAGTGGATGGCAGGTGGCATGTGAGGGCAGGTTTTCTCCCTTCCTCCTCTAGGTGTGCTTCTCAACCTGACGCCCCATTTTCTGTTTCTGGAGGTACAGTCAGTATACAAGCAACTGCCTCTTTTTTTTTTTTTTTTTTTTTTTTTTTTTTTTCGAAACAGGGTTTCTCTGTAGTTTTGCGCCTTTCCTGGAACTCACTTTGTAGACCAGGCTGGCCTCGAACTCACAGAGATCCTCCTGCCTCTGCCTCCCGAGTGCTGGGATTAAAGGCGTGCGCCACCACCGCCCGGCAAGCAACTGCATCTTTAGACACGATGGTAACAACAACAAAGTCAACTTTAAAATAATGATGGTGGCACACACCTTTAATTCCAGGCCTTGGGAGGCAGAGGCAGGCAGATCTCTGTGAGTTCAAGGCCAGCCCGGTCTACAGAGTTACATGAAAGCCAAGACTATATAATGATACTTTTTCTCAAACCCAAACCCTAAAACCAAAAAGGTAAAAAACAAATAAAGAAGCCAGGCAGTGGTGGTGCACGCCTTTAATCTGAGCACTTGAGAGGCAGAAGCAAGAAGATCTCAGTGAGTTCGGGGCCAGCCTGGTCTACAAAGCGAGTTCCAGGACAGCCAAGATGTTACACAGAAAAACCCTGTCTTGAAAAACAAAACAAAAAAAAGAAAACAAAACCACATCAACAACAACACCACTGTAGACGGGCATGATGGGTCACATTTTTTCTTTGTGTAGCCTTGGCTGTCCTAGAACTCTCTCTATGGAGCAAGTAGGCCTGGAACTCACAGAGATCCACCTACCTCTGTCCCCCGGTTGCTGGGATTAAAGGTATGAACCACCACTGCCAGGCTAATAGGTCACATTTGTAATCCTAGCACTTGGGAGAGTTCAAGACCAAGTTGGACTATATACCCATTCTAGGCTAGTCTCTAAATAAGTAAATGTTTCCAAGATGCTCAGCAGGAGTAAAATCTTTTTAAAGAGTTACTTATTTATTTGTGGGCGTCTGCCTGTCTGTTCCTGCATTATGTGGTTGCAGTGCCCACAGAGGTCAGAAAAGGTCGGAAGATCCTTTGGAACTGGAGTTGCACTGCTGGGAGCTGAACTTGGTCCTCTGCAAGAGCAGCATGTGCACTTAACTGCTGAGCCCTCTCTCTAGCAGCCTCCCTCTCCCCCGCCAAACTAATAAATCTGTGATCAATTAGAATGGCATTTGTAAGAGTTGTTGACTGAGAAAGAGCTGTAAAATGAGAGACAGAAACATGCTGTTTCCAAAAAAATAGTCATGCTGTTCTTAGAAGTGCAAGTCTTTGAGCCAATTAAAAGTTGGAGGGGAGGGAAAGCATTACTAGGCTAGATTAAACATCTCCCACGAAAAGGCAACTAACTAATCACACTAAGATGCTTTGCCCAGTTCCTCGGGCGCCCTGGCAATACAAGCATTCACAACTGGAGACAAACTTTTCTAAGGACAAGGACTCGCCAAAGACATTCAAAAGTACACAACAACAAATTCCTCACTTGGCATCTAGTCCACCCTCTCGTTTCTTATTAGTATGGTTCCAGTGAATTTGCAAATCTCAGATTTCCTAGAACCAACTATTCCCATGCCTAACAGGCAACAGCGTAGGGACAAAGTCCTGATCACTTGAGTTTAGTGGGAAAGGTACACAACTAGATTGTGGTTTCTGTTCCACACCCTTCAGCACTCCTGCCCTCAGCTCCAACACTCCCAGGAGGATCACTTGTGTCCCAGTCGCTGGAAGGTGACTGCAGCAGCACTGGTCGGGTGAGAACGGCCTAACTGAACCGCAGAGCACTCTAGGGTGGTGCTCTGGCGCGGGGATCACGCTCCTCCCACAACCAGAGGCCTGGGGCCCTGGAGGCCGATCTTTCCCAACCCCACAAGTTCATCCGGCTTCGGGACAGCACTCCACGATCCGGCCACGCCATAAGGGGGATCTGAAGGCCACCGGCCATGAGCGTCCCGTTGCGATCCGGCCGGAGCACCTGGCGGCGGGCAGCCACCGTGGTGCTAGCCGCGGGCTGGAACCGTCCGAGTCCCGGCGCCCCTCAGTCCGCCGACGACGACTTCCGGCTGCTGCTCCTCGAGCGCGCCCCAAACCAGCGCTTCATGCCAGGCGCGCACGTCTTCCCGGGCGGTGCGCTGGACGCCGCCGACAGCTCGGCCGATTGGCTGCGACTGTTCGCGCCCCGGCACACACCGTCGCGTTTCGGCCTGGGCCCGGCGCCGCCTCAGCACCCCTCTTTCCCGGGGGTCGTCCACGACAACGCGCACGCCGGGGCGCTGCCTGATGACGTGGCGCTGCGCATCTGCGCCGTCCGCGAGACCTTCGAGGAGGCTGGGGTGCTGCTGCTGAGGCCGCGGGGCTCGGCGCCGGCTTCTCCAGGGCCCGGCCTGGCGCTGTCGCCTCCGCCGGGCCTGGCCGACTGGCGCTCGCGCGTGCGCAGTGACCCGCGCTGCTTCCTGCAGCTGTGCGAGCACCTGGACTGCACGCCCGACATCTGGGCTCTGAGCAACTGGGGCGGCTGGCTCACGCCGTACGGGCGTGGCGCCCGCCGCTTCGACACCACCTTCCTCCTGTGCTGCCTCCGCGAGACCCCGCCGGTGCATCCCGACCTGACCGAGGTGGTGGACTACAAGGTAGGGCCCGCGTACCCCGCGGGATGCGCTGAGCATTACCGCAGACCAAAGGCGTGACATTGCCGAGGCTCTCACCCCTTGGGGACACGGCAGAGCTTCTGTTGCCTGTTCTGAAAACTAAACAACGATTCATTCACTTCATCCCCTAATCGTTATCATTCGACTTCTGGAACATATTACAGGATTTTAGTCCTATCAACTTAACTCCCCCCTCTCCCTCCCTCGCTTCTTTGTTCCCACCTTCCTCTTCTCCCTCTCTCTCCTTTTACCGTCTTTGCTCTCCCATCCTCCCGTTTCTAAGGCTTTTCTCCTCATCTCATTTCTCTCTCTCCCTCCCTTCCTCTTTCCCTCCCTCTCTCCCTCCTCCTCCTCACTAGCACCAGGCACAGTTAGGCTTCTGCAACTTCTTCATTTATTCAAATGTTTTAAACTTTTATTTCTTTTTTAAAAAAGAAATAAAATGACTTATTTTAAATCGTGTGTCCAAGTAAGAGTATATGCATTTGAGCACAGGTGCCCACTGGTCTCCTGGAGTTGGAACCACCTTGAGTGGGTGATGGGAATGGAACTCAGGCCCTCTGCAAGATGGTTCCTCTACAGATCTCAGTTGATCCATCTCCTTAGCTCCCCTTCGTCTGTTTTTGTAACTGCAGTGGATTGCTTGCTCTACTGTAGGACATGGATGCGCATACACTTGTTTCAACCTTTTTCCTTCTGTATTTCATTTGTATAAATTCAATTGTTTTTTTGTTTTGTGTGTGTGTGTGTGTGTGTGTGTGTGTGTTGGTTTTGTTTTGTTTTGAGCCAGGGTTTCTCTGTGAAACAGTTCCTGGGTATCCTGGAACTGACTCTGTAGACCAGGCTGGCCTCGAACTCAGAGATCTGCCTGCCTCTGCCTCTTGAGTGCAGGGATTAAAGGTGTGCGCCACTACGCCCAGCGCAATTGCTGTTTTTTTAAGTTTACACTTTTCCTTTGAAATATCAGCCTTAAGTAGTATTTCTGGAAGCATCACAGCTGCCTGCACTCCAGTTCTAGAGCATTTGACGCCCTCTTCTGGCCTCTGAGGGTATGCACTTATGTGGTGCACAGACATACTTAATGGCAAAACACATACATAAATCTGAAATTAATTTTTTCTTTTTCTCTTATTATGTTGATCTTTTTGTTTACATCTTTGAACTAACCAGACTGCTTAGAACAGGAGCTAGAAAAGAGTCAGGCAGTGTGATAGCTTCAATTGTCACCTTGTCACAACCTAGAATCCCTCCAGGAGCCCCTGGGTACAAATGCTTACAGTGTTCCCGAGATGTAGCACTGCAGAGCATGCCTGCATCTCTGGAATTACTCAGAATTTTCTTTTTCATCTTTCTTTTCCTTTGAAATACTGTTGTGGAATAATCTTTTTTTACACTGTGAAGATGTGTCACTCAGACTGGTTTATTAAAAAGCTGAATGGCCAATAGCTAGGCAGAATTTCCAGGCACAGAGAATGCTGGGAAGAAGAAGGGTGGAGTCACCAGCCAGATGTGGAGGAAGCAGGAAAGTAGCATGGGCCTATGGAGTAAAGGTCATAAAACCATGAGGCAAAGTAAATTAATAGAAGTGGGTCAGTTTGAGTTATAAGAGTTAGTTGGAAACAAGCCTAAGCTATCAGCCAAGCTTTCATAATTAATAAGTCTCCATGTGGTTATTTGGGAGCTGGCTGGAGGGACAGAAAATTCTACCTACAAAATACATTCCAAAGCTTGGGCGTGCTTGCTCAGACACTAGGCTTTCTCATTCTTTTTCTCTCAAGCTACTCCCCAACCCCCTTCTACCTAGAGGCCACTCAAAGCATGGCTATCTCTCTTTATCCACCCCAGCTCCTTTCTGCTGGCACCTGCTGAGATTTATAGCTCATCTGCCCTTTGCTCTCTTAAACTGTAGTGCAATTGTCCTTGAGAACTTTCAGTCTGTTTTTAAATTAAATAAAAAATAAAAGATATTATTTTATGCTTGTGTGTGTGTGTGTGTGTGTGTGTGTGTGTGTGTGTGTGTGTGTGGTTTGTTGTTGTTGTTGTTGTTGATACAGACCACATTTCCCTGCATTTGACATGTCCTGAATTACATGTTAGTATTGTTTGTAAGTTGCTGACTGCTGGGTTTTCTTCTATTCTTTTAAATAGTTTTGCACTTTTCCCGGCAGGCAGTTAAGTTATTAGAGATGGACTCTGTCCTTTTAAGGTATGTTTTAAATGGTTTGGGGGTGGGTCTACAGTATGTTCAGGAGCTAATTTAGCTACAGTTCCATTATGTGACCCTTCTCTAGTCACTTGAGTGCCCAAGTGCTGGTTACATTTAATTAAGGCTTTCCCAGTGTCGGGAATACATTGCTGGAGAAAATGGGAAAAAGTCTTGGCTCCAGGTAAGCATGAAGAATTTAGTCAGGAACCTCCCAGGTCTTGCTCTTTCCTTAGAAGTAGTCATCGTCTCTATCATATGGTTTTACCTTTTTGTGCACAAGTAAGTATGTAGTAGAGTTTCGGGGTTCAGTTCTGTGTAGACCTTCTCAGGCACATGGCTCACCCAATACTACCCAATGTGAGCTGCCCTCCCGAATTCTGATTTGTATCTGCTCGAGCCAATAAGAACTAGATGCTGCGTAGGTTCCCCTGCTGTCCTGTAGTCTGGGAATGACTTTAGGCAGAAGCCCTAGACAAGTGGTAGGTCTCACTTCATCCTTTCTTTATTTACTTACTTATAGTCAGGCAGTTTTTGGTGTTTGGAAATAGATTTTATCAAGTTGTTATGTGGTGTGTGAGTTTAGCTCTCATGGCCGAAAGGATTTTTTTTTTATTATTTTTACTAATTATCAGCATTTTAACTAGCATTTAATAATTATTAATATTTTTGATAAATATTATTACTTAACAACTATGATTTGATTGTTATTAATTATTTTTATACTGTAACATGCATGCAGATGACCATGTAGGCCAGAAGAGGGCGTTGAATTGCCTAGAACTTGAGTTATGGGTGGTCATGAAGCTACCCAATGTGGTTCTGGGAACCCAACTCTGGTCCTCTGGAAAAGCCACAACTGCTTTTAACCACCGAGCCATCTCTCCAGCCACCAATTCTTTCTTTCTGAGACAAGACCTCACTGTGTTGCCCAGGTGGGATTTCATCTCCTAGACTCAGGCAATTTTCCTGGTCCACCCCCTGGGACATGGCAGTGTCCAGGCCTCTGAATGTTCTCATGTTGTCTGAAAGATCTAGCAAGGCCCCCTGGATCAGTTAGTTTTCACATCAGGCAGATCTTATATACCCATCTAGCAACCTGGGACCTGGCTGGTGGTGGAATAAACCTCACAAAGCTGCTTCCTTTGTCTCCTACAGTGGTTGTCTCCATCAGAGGCAACTGAGTGTTTCCTGTCCAAAGAAATCTGGCTGGCACCACCGCAGTTCTATGAAATGAGAAGACTTGAGACTTTCGACTCTCTCTCCGCTCTGTACAGATTTTCTTCCGATTACCCTTTAGAAATAACTGAGAAATGGCTGCCGATAATACTTTTAACTGCTGATGGCTCCATCTATCTTCTCCCAGGTGAGTTGGGGAAGTACCAGTGCTCTGGTTAGTATTCACCTTAAGATTATCAGACCAACCCATAGCGAAACATCAAAAGTGTTGTTATTAAGGCCAACATTAATGTTAATATTTAATAGGCTAAAGAGAGCATAAGGTAATCCAAGACTTACAGTGTTTGGCTGGGCATGTGACTTGGTGGAACACTTGCCTAGATTGCATCAAGGCCTCAGTTTTAATTCCCAGTGCTGCTGAAATAGATGATAAAATAATTATAGTTCACAACAGAAGCACTGTAATCATCCATTATGATGTGCCCAAAGAAAATGCTTATCTTGGGGTAGACATAAGTAGGGATATTAAAATCCAACCAAGAGGGCTAGAGAGCTGGCTAAGTCAGTAGAGCGTTGGCCTTGCAAGTGTGAGGGCCTGGGTTTGGGTCCCCTGCACCGGGGCAAAGAGTCAGGCATGGTGGTGCCAGGCTCCTGCAGTCCCAACATTGTGATGGCAGAGTGGGAGGCAGAGACAGGCAGAGCCTTGGAAGTTCATGGGCCAGCTAGCCTGGCCTAATTGAGACTTCCCAGGCCATAAGAAACCCTATCTGGAACAAAAGGTGGAATGTTCTGGAGGAACAACACCTGAGGCTGTCCTCTGGCCTCCACGGGTGATCGCCTCTGCAGTCACGCGCACACACTTGGTGGAGAGAGAGACCTAACTCTAGCAGGCTGGTCCCTGCCCTCAGCTTGTGTGTACACACACACACACCTCCCCTCCTCTCTCAAATGTAATCAAAACTTGAAACAGGATGAGAAAGCGTCTGAGTGGTTGGAGACCGTCCTGCTGCTCTCTCGGAGGATCTGGGTTTGGTTCCCAGTACCCATATCAGGCAGTACACGCACATGCTTACGCATACCGTGGATTAATAATAAAGTAAATTTAAAAATAAATTAAAAGTAGCAACAAGAAAAACACCAACTCAGCTTCAACAAGAAATACATAACAAAAAATACTGATTTATGTCAATATATTGGGGTGATCTATAAAACAATGCTTTGTAGAAACAAATTTTTACTATTTTTCAGGAGATGAGCTATATGTGAAAGACTCAGATTTCTTAGAAAAACCAATGTCTACTGAAAAAAAGACTGAAGAATTCATGAAGGAAGGCAAAGTAGTTAACCGAATGGCGATCCACAGTCTCCACCTCTATGAAATCTATGTGTCTCTGCTGTCCAAGGATAAGCTCGTGTACCCTAAGAACTACATATTGAATAAGAGCCTGCCTGCCCACTTGTGAGGTGCTCCACTTGTGGGGATCGACTGAACGTGTCTGAAATACAAGGACTGTGCCTATAAAGTTGTGTACTGACATGTTTCCTGTGTTGTATGCGTTTGCTGCCCGCCTTCAGACTGCACAAGCCATGAGGGTCCAATGTATGAAGTGTTAAGAACCTGGTTACTGGATAAATGGCTTCACAATGGTTGTCTCTTCTGTGTTTTATTAGCTTGAACCCTTAAAAAGGGGTCTTCTGCCATCCCCTAACTGCCCCACATGTGAGCGGGTTTCCTGATATACGGTGGAGATTGAGCCCCGGATCTCTTCGACTTTCAGCAGGAATTAATTCAGGGGTACCTGATTAGATGGTATTAAGTTCGAATGTAGCATTTCCTCCACATGGTCCCTAGCTGGTAGCACTGTTTTGGCAGGTTGTAAAAACTGAGGGGCAGGCTCTAACTAGAAAAAGTGGGTTGCTGGCGTGGGTGGGTCTTGAGGGATTGAGTCCCACCTCTGTTCTAGCAGAATTCTGTTTTCTGATCTGAGGAGATCTGAGCAGACTGCCTCAGGTTTACGCCTCTCTGAATGCCACATTGTCTTCACCGTGAAATTGGCTGAACTAAACCCCAACTCTACGTTGTCTCTGTGAGGCATTTGATCATAGCAAATAAACAGTGACTGAGGCATCCTTCAAGGGTGATGCCATGTCCTTGCCAGGTATCTAACTGGATCATTAACAAACATGGCTCACACCTTTAATCCCAGGTGGATCTCTGAGTTCAAGGTCAGCCTGGTCTACAGAGTGAGTTCCAGGGCAGCCAGGGCTGTTGAACAGAGAAACCCTGTCTCAAACCAAAGTGGGGGGAAACACAATATTTGGTTTAAAACCAAATAGCATTCATTTTGACGTCTACATTTTATTTTTTATTACACTTTTTTTACGTGCTTGCACACATGAGTGCATACCCTGAGCAGTGTGGAGGGGAGAGAACAAGTTACAGGAGTCTATTCTTTCCTGTGGGTCTGGTCTGTGGAGCTCAGGTCACCAGCTTCGTTTGGCATACTCTTCCTTGCCAAGCCGTCTTGCTGATCGCATGCTTCCCACATTTTAAAGACTTAGGAACCAGACAAGAGCAGGCTGATGAGACGGACACCTCAGCAGGTAAAGGCACTGAGCGCACGTGCCCGGTGACCTCATTTGATCCCCAGATCCCATGTAAAGGTGTGAAGAGAGGGCCTGCTTTTCAGAGTTGTCCCCTACCTCCATACATGTGCCATGGCATGTGTGCCCTCACATGTGTGCACAGACACACATCAGAAAACTCGTCAACCTTTGTGCACATAGGAAATAGTTAATGAATGTAAAAAGGTTAGAACGAGAATGTTAAATTCACAGGGGTTTAATGTGTTTAATGTGGGTGATTTCTTTTTGACTTTGTTAAAGACAAATAATCTATTGACTAACGGTGAGAAATGATAGTTAAGGCACAATTTGTTTTGTTTGCTTTGTTTAAGACAGGGTCTCTACATGGCTCTGGCAGTCCTGGAACCCACTGTAGACCCAATGGCTTCAAAATGACAACAGATATGCCTACTTTTGCCTTCTGAGTGTTCCAATCAAAGGTGTGCACCACCACACCTGGTGGGACACTAATCCTGCTTGTAGATCTTCATATTATGTTTTGTAGTGGATTTCACTTTTCACGAAATGTCTTCATTTACCTGCTAACACAATAAAGTCAATAATAAGTAAAGCCATGCATATTCCTAAGGGTGTGTGTGTGTGTGTGTGTGTGTGTGTGTGTGTGTGTGTGTGTGTCTGCTTGAGCTTATGTGCACCACATGGAGGCCAGAAGAGAGTAGTGGATCCCCTGGAACTGGAGTTACTGATGCAGGCAGCCAAACCCAAGTCCTCTTTAAAACTCTTAATGGCTAAACCATCTCTCCAGCCCTTCCTGTGCGTTACTTAATCCCCATTAGAGAAATAAGAGAGAGCAGCGGATCTTAGATTGTTTCACATGTTCTTAGCTTGTTCAAGCTGTCTGGAAATGTTTTCAGTTGTCGCAACTGAGGAGAGGATTATAGTGTCACCTAGTGGAGAGACGGCATAGGTACAGGAAGATAGCCTCCAGTGTACAGGAATTAAGTTACCAGACCTGGAGTAAAATCTAATCAGGCTTGGTGGTACAGATCTCTGATCCTAGCTACTTGGAAGGCTGTGACAGGAGAATCAAAAGTTCAAGGTCTGCCTAGGTTACAAAGTGAGTTCAAGACCAACTTTGACAACCTTGTGACCCTGCCTCAAAAATTTAAAAGAAGGCTGAGGCAGGCACTTGCCTATCATGTGTAGGGCTGTAACTTTATTTTTTTATTTATTTGTTTTTTTCAAGACAAGGTTTTACTGTGTAGTCCTGGCTGTCCAGGGACTCACTCTGTAGATCAGTCTGGCCGTTTTAACTCTCTTTATGCATACCTGTCTCTATTGGTATATGTGCATGTGAGTGGAGTTCCCCACAGACCCAGAAGAAGGTGTTGGATCCCCTGCTGGAGTTTTTGGAGGTTGTGAGCCACTCCATGTGGGTGCTGGGAACTGAATTCAGGTCCCTTGGAAGCACTGCTGAACCATTTCTCTGGCCCAAAATCTATTTTTTTAAGTAAATGGTCCCAATAAGTAAATTTGAGATCCATAGATAATAATATTCTCTGTGGCTTCTCAATCTACAAAAATTCTTAATGATTGTTGACCTGGAGCATAGTGTTCATGAAGGGAGCAGGCAGAAGCACCTTGGCCTGAGTACTGCCCTTTTGACTTCAGATTCCATTTTACTTGTAGGGTGAAATGAAGTTCAGGTTTCCAAGCCCTAGGGTGGGCTGAGAACTTTCCAATGGCTGACCAACCTCCTCCCTAAACCATAGCAATAGCCATTACTCATCTTTAGTTCTTTAGAAACATCATGGCTGATCCTAACCACAGACGCAACAACTGAATCTGATTGGTTGGACTGAAAGTCTTGCATTGTATATCAGTTGGCAATGATGGAACACTCAAGGAAGCCCCTAGTCTCTAAATCCTGATCGGTGAAAATTGTAACTGATTTGGCAACAAATGTTTGTGGATTTTATGCTTATAAACCCCACTTCTGCCCCTGCTCAGGGCTGTCAGGAGAAATGAGGCTCCCAAGTCCTTGTCCTGCAGCTCTGATCAATCGGGGACCTGCTGAGGTGGTGAATTATTAAGATCTTTGGAACCCATAAGTGTTTCTCTCCTTCCTTATGGCACATAATGGCCTAGGTGTAACAGTTCATTCTCGCAGAGCGTTACTGCTGGGAGGGACCTCGGGAATGGCATCATTGTGTCAGCGAGGAACTTGAGAAACAGATGCATGCAGCCAGTTTCCACCCTAGCTAGGAAGAGAACTTGGATAGTAGCCCTGAGAAAAGATAATTATTCCTCCTGACCCAAGGAGACAATGACAAGACCAGGCGATGATAGGTGCCAAGCTCCGTTTATTATGCAAATTAAGCTCCAATCTTCCCTCTTTTATCTCAGCCCAGGTATTACCCCTAGTTCTAAAGATCCCCCTTTAGCTATTAACTCAGAAGAAAGTGCCTTTATGGAACCAAATACACGGTGTGATGCAGGTTGCCTAGCAACCAAGTAAACTTCCCCTGCCCTACCAGAAAGCAGCACAGCTGAGATAAGCTGAGACAGAAATGGTACCAAGGGAAAAGAGAGTTTTACTTTACTAGTGACTTATACTGACATATAGACTCCTAACCTATTTCGAATCCCCTAATTGATTTTAGCCCTTAACTGACCCTACCAGAGAACTCCCATTAGTCACTCCCCTTTTGGGTTGTAAAAGAAAGCCTGACAGTCACTGCCTGAGGTAAACTCTTATCTGCCTTTATGACCTGGAAAGAATTCAAGACTTGTGACCTTGCTTTGGCCAGAGAATCGCTGACTGTATGTGTATATGAGCTGGAAACTTCAGAGACTGGGGGAGAACTAAGAACAATGAGAGAAAGTGGAAGAAGGGACAGAGAGGAGCTAAGTGTGAGACCAGGAAAGAAGCTGTGTGGAGAGATTCGACTTGGAAGAATAAAGTGGACTAGGAGCTCAGTGTGCTTAGATTCTTTCCATAGCCCTAAATTGAGATCCTCAGTTGATTCTTCCACGGACCCTGGGAAAGGGCTGTAGGGGCTGGACCCCAGTAGCTCTTCTTAGTGCCACACCAAGCTGGGTCTCATTGATCTCTCTTAGCCTCGCCTTGGTGGATTCTAGGGAGGTGCCCTACCACTGAGCTATATCTCCAGCCCCTTTTTACTTTTTCTTTATACAATTTTTTGAGAAATGGTCTCATTTTGTAGCCCTGGTTGGTCCTGAACTTACTATGTAGACCAAGCTGGCCTCAAACTCACTAAAGGAGTGCGCCACTAGGTCCAACAACAACAAAAAATTCGTGTGGGGGTACATTGTTGGTTAAGCGGTGGCCCTCGTGGCTGGCACCGCATGCCGACAGAAGAGGGCGCTGGATGCTGCGGTGGCGGAAGAGTCACGAGCCATGGCTACCTTTCTAGAGCTTCATTAGGAGAGAGGGAGAGAGAAAGAGAGAGACTGCGCGGAGGACAGAGGGAATACGGGGGTGGGGTGGGGGTGAGAATAAGTAAAGAGGGAGCACAGAGAGGGCATACCCGCTTTTTAGGCTGGGACGCTGTCGCAGGCTGTTGACATAATAAGGACATAATCCTTACATACATGTGTCTCCCGATGTGTGTGTATACACGTGTCTGTTGATGTGTGTGTACACATGTCTGCTGGTATGTGTGTGTATACACATGTCGCTGTGTGTGTGTGTGTGTGTGTGTGTGTGTGTGTGTGTGTGTGTGTGTACACGTGTCTGCTGATGTATAGAGCCCAGAGGTTGATGTTAGGTATCTTTCTCAATCATTCTCCACTTTACCATTTGAGACAGAGTTTCTCACGGAACCAGTATGGCTCACCTAGACAAGCCGACCCACAAGCTCCAGAGATCTGCCTGTGTCCACCTCCCCAGCACTGGGATTATAGGCACTGGACACCGTATCCAGCTCTTTACACATGCTAGGGATCCAAACTCAAATAAATCATCATGCTTGTGGCATTGAATCAGCTTCCCAGACAGTTTTCATTCCAGGACAGGGCTCATAATATTGTTTGGGCTG